AACTAGATGAATAAACAATTATTGTTATGAGGTTTTGTTATGGAAATATAGTTGGGATTGATTAAAACCATAATTATGCCGAAGTACCTATTTGGAGTTACTAATTAGGTTTAAGTTAATGGGCTATTCCATGCATGAATAGCATATATCGAATATTATTATACTTTATACTCACAACAGTGTCAGACATTTATGGAGCCAAAGCAAAATTATTTGTTAATTTCGCTTAAGCGCCTATATACATATAGACAATTCTGTACTTTAGACTCGGACCGTCTCGGACCATTCCAACAGAACATGGAAACGCAACGAGTGACAAATAATTGTATACAAGTACAAGTGAACCCCTATACTAACTACTCACACAACTTGTCAAATATATATGCCAATTACTATCCAAGATGCTATCAAACTTAAATTAAAATGTCTGCCAAGAGGCACACAAACCCTTTGTTTGCTTGTCAAAGTCACATGTTTTGCTGTCAAACTTAGATTAAAATGTCCGCCAAGAGGCACACAAACCCTTTGTTTGCTTGTCAAAGTCACGTGTTTTGAATAGGCTAATAACAAATATTTACCAAGTAGGTTAAAGTTTGTTGTAGGCGGGCTATTCGGTGGTGATTGTTGTAGGCGGGTTATTCGGTGATGATTTCTTCTCGCGGCTGCTATAATGGACCGGTATTAGTAGTGCTTGGCGTGGGCGGAGCTGTTACGTGATTGGTCTTTCTGGTAGGTGCCTTGTTTTCAATCCTCAAGCACAAGCCTAAAGTGAATCGCCAATGAATGTTTAGAATCTTTTGCTGGTCTTAGGCTTTGTCTTTTAAGGCCGGTTAAGCCACCTGGTAGAGTCGGTATAATTTGGCATAATATAGGCAATAAAGTATGCGAAGCAATCACAATTAGGAAAACGCCCTAGCCTAGAAATATGAAAGACCTACGTTTTTGTTGTCAGTTATCACATTATGCTATAGAGAAAGTAAAGTGAAAAGAGACTACTGTTTCTTACCGTTTGTCCAATTCGTACCGGGTGATTGTCTATATTTTGCACCCATACCTTTCTCACCTGTTTGAAGAGATACCCAGAAATGTCAATTGTGAAAGTTGTAAGTAATGTCAAAGAATATTATAGTTAACTATAATATTCTTTGGTAATGTCAAAAACTTTGCATTAAAGTTAGTTATAAGTATACAGGGTGTGTCACAAAAGTGTAACGAAGCAAAGCTATACTTTTTCGAATGGAAATCCCTGTATGTCCCATTGGATTAGCTTTTCAAACGTGATTCCAAATATACTAGATTTTTCAGGTTTATTCCTAATAGTCCATGAGAAAATAGGACAAAAAGGGGTGGAATAATTGTATTTTTATTTTTATTGAAAAAGGGGAAGTATAGAGACCACCTACAAAATATAAAGGTACCTAATTAGTCATGTAAAAAATCCATATTATTTCTTCAAAATAGGGATATTCAGAGGCTGGACTATAAAGAATAAACCGAAAAAACCTAGTACTTATATTTGGAATCAGGTTTGAAAGGCTAATCCAATAGAACAATAATATACGGGGTGTGCCAAAAAAGTATAACTTTGTTTCGCCACACTTTTGTGATACACTTTGTATACTTGTAACTAAATTCACTGCAAAGCTTCTGATATATTACCTAAAACTTTAACATTTGACATTTCTGGGTATCTCTTCAAACAGGTAAGATAGGTGTAGATGCAAAATATAGACAATCACCCGGTACAGGCATCTTAGGTAGAGTCTCATTGGTACCCCTATGGGTACACACCACCATTGCAAACGTAAAAAAGTAACTGTCTCTTTCTACTGTACTATATTTATAGCATGTGACAACAAAAACGTACGTCTTTCCACATTTCTAGGGCGGTTTTCTGAGTTGTGAATGGTTCGCATATTTTATTACTCATTATTCATTATGCCAATCTGCATTAAAACTTCAATTAAAAAAGAAAAACCGTAAGCAGCACCTAAATGTAACCGCGAATGAAACAATGCATTGCAATAAAATTCAAATGCTGATAAGGGTAGGTACCTGTTATTTTAATCTGGTATTTGGTCGAGGATCCAATCAATGTTGAGTTCAATAAACATCCATCTCTATTTACACGTTTATTTACATATATATACAATATTATTTACAAGCCATTTAACAGTTTTCTGTTGCATTGAACAATTCATTTACAACATAATTTTACTTTTTATTATTAACAAAAGCAACATGTGTTTCTCATCTTTTTGACCTTAACCTACTTATTACAAAAACTCTCCACTTCATAATTTAGGCACTATATAACTTAAAAGTAACTTCTATATTACAGGTTTCTATCCAAGAATAGCATTACAAGGAATAGTCAATTGTTAGAATTCACAACAGTACCTATTCTTATTTTGTGATTTGTCAACAGCCAAAGTAAATGCCACCGTGATATTCAGAACTACACTAAAAGATCCGTACCTACACGCAGGTAAAACTCCACCGGGATCCTATAGGATCATCCCACACCGAAGTCCCACACAAACATCTTGCACTATCAATCAACTTTGCACAACTCCACCACAAACTGTGCCACCACAGAGACTCATCGCGCGAGCCCCATTATTTGACATTAGAAGTAATAATATCCCAATATATTATTGTATCTATATATTATATCGGCCAAACAGACAGCTGTAGAAGATTCTACCCATTCTATTACAAAGACAAATTGAAAGGCTTCGATGTGTAGTTTTCACCTGTTTCACTCTTTGTACAGAAAATACTAGACTTTATATAAGTTTATAAGTCAATTCTTCAAAATCTCTTATGGAACGTGCAAAGCGAATTTGTGAGTTGGAACATTTGCAAGCGACGACCGGAAAAAGCGGTTCTGACTAACGCCTATTCTGGCTATTCTTCCTTAAATATAAGGAGAACCCGGCATTCGAAAAAAAAAACAAGGAACAACATAAATGTAGTGGAAAGGCTCTCTTACCCTATCAAAAACCTAACAGAGCCTATCGAAAAAACTTTGAAAAGCATAGCATGATGTAATACTTGCCTTTAAGCTTATCAAAACTTTGAAACAAAGCCTGAGATTTGCAAAAGACAAGCATTAGAGATTCTTTGAAAACCGCGATAGTATCTCGGATTTCATGAAGTCAAATGCCATAATGCAGGGCGGGTAAGTAAGAATGTGCCTGAAGAACTTGGGATTAAATCTTAAAATGAAGCTCTGACTGTACACAAATGTAGTCAGGCCCGTGGATTAATAATATTAATAGCCGAATGAAATGCAAAGGCTGGCATGCATGTGCGTTGCGGCAATGAATACCATTTCCACAGCACCAAAGTTTTGCTAAAAATGCCTCCATATGAACTCCATTATAAATACAATGGGCTCTTTCACTAATTTTTGAAATTGGCATATTTGGATAAAGCAACTAAAGACAGAATTTTCTGTATTTTTACTTTTGAAAAATTCATAGTCCTTCTTGAGAAAACAGAAAAAAAAGAATTACCTCCAAATAAAAACCCAGAATTTATTTCTATGACGTCGCAGCAAGCAATTTGACCGTGTTGCCACTAATTGTCGACATTGAAAATTTGTAATAGATTTAATTCTGAAATGTTCGCAAAATATCATGAAAAGTAGTTAAATTAATCACTTATGGATTCAAGATTTTATAACTTTTTTATTGAAATTATGTTTAAACACAATTTAATACAATTTTTTATGTTTAGTTTTATTTTATTTTTTTACGTTGCACTACATCTAGTCACCACCGACAACAGCGCATTCGAACCTTTACCTGCTTTTACTACAGGGTACACAGCCGAGGCGGTAAGCTCCTTTGTAACAACAAGCGAAATGAAAAATATTTATGTGACGTCAGCAAATCGGCGCGTTTTAATTTAATTTGAATTTAGCCAATTTGAAATGCCTGTAAAAAACTTATTTAACCTCGTAGAACTTTTTTTTTTGGTATATATGCCTAAAATAGCCCCTCCTTTGGGATTTTATACTCAAATTACGTATTCAAATTTTAGTGAAAGACCCCATTATCTTATTCAAGGAGTCGCATACAGACCAGGAACAAGGATCCAGGTTACCAGGGACAATGATCTGGTTATAAGATAAGAGATGGAGAAATAAATAAGGCAATGATAAGGGAAATCGAGGAAGATTTAATTCTGGACGATTCCACAGTCCCTAGGCCCACATCTTAGAAAAAAGTTTAGAAACACAGGTATCACAAGAGACCACTGAAAAAGGGGCCTGGCTATGGTAAACAGACGATTTCTAAGCCGAGCAAAAAAACTGCAGCAAGATACATCATGCATAAAGAATATTAATTGGCCGAAAAAAGTTGAATTTGCTAAGCCAAGACAATGTGATGTGTGAACCGTTCTATAGCTAGCGACGTAATACATATATAACGAATCGGAACTTGATTTTCTCTACATTATTTTTACAGAAGGGATAAAACCTCTCTCAAAATATAAACACATTGACCCTTACCGATTAGAGAACCAATTTAAGGGAATATTCTAGAACACTTTCCTGCCAGAACATGGTAGTGAATAGTGATACCCAATTCAAAATCTCGAGAAAAAAAAAACCATATGTTTGAGTTTTCTGATTTTTTCAACCCTTCATCCCCTATCGATTTGAGAACCAATTTGAGGAGGAACTATTCTAGAACACTTCATTAGGTCCCTGCCAAAAGATGGTAATGGAGACTTTGGTAATGGTATATATTTACCCCATCCAGAAACTGTTTTTTAATATCTCTCCATGAGACATAACACCACGTACTAATTTTCCTATGTATTTAACATATAAAAAGCTGTAAAGAAATGCCGGCGCCACTTAGCGCTTTGCGGCATGTCAAAGGGACCGCCGACCAATGAAAAATGAAATGTGATTTTTATCTGAGGGGGAAAATCTTCATAGAACTTTGTGAATTTGGAATTTAGTTATTTGAGTTTTGGTTGTGATTCAGTCAATTTGTCTAGATTTAATTAAACTTTATATCTACTTATTCCTTATTTAAAATGTCTTTTGAATTTGCACCATACATTTTCCATGACCAAATTTATAGACAAGTCATATTCCATCGAGATAAAAATCGTGGCTTCCGTCCGGAAAAAGAGTCTGAACTTCACGTAACAAAAATTCCTTTCACTGCTAATGTTTTCGATTTATTCAAGTTTTTTGACAAAGTCGGTAAAATTTTCCAAGTAAAACTAATGATGAAAGAGGGATCCGCTTCCAACCGAGGATTTGGTTTTATCACTTACTTCAGCAAAAATTCAGCCCAGGAAGCTACAAATAGTTTGACGACAGTGCCTTTCATCCAGCAGGATGATGATGATAATTATTTGTTAATAACAAAATCATTAGACAACTGTCGTATATTTCTGAGAGGAATAGCCCGTCAAAAATCAAAAGAAGAAATTTGGATGGAATTGGAACGAATATATCGAGGGGTGAATATTGTGGATGTGATTGTCCATGGAAACCCACAGAATGTACATTTGAATAGGGGCTATGTTTTTGTTGAATTTCCTACCCACGAAGAAGCGGCACGCGCACGGGTGAAACTCAGACACTGTCGCATTTTTGGGATTTTTCTTGAGGTGGAATGGGCCCTTCCTTTGAAAAATTTTGGTCAAGAAGAAATATCAAAGGTAATTTTTTGCTTTTTTTGTTTTTTATTTGACTGTATTTTGTTTATTTCCACTCACCTTGCCATTTTGCACAACTATTATACCCATTATACCTACATACCCACTATACAAACTTTGAGTTTTGACTATACCCTGTACCAAACTTTTTTTCCTATTTTTTTTCCTATACGCACTGAATTTTTTTGTAGCTTGAATATGCCGTAAATTAAATTGAAAATCCATGATAATAGCTTGCACGAATTTTGGTTTGTAAATTTTCACTTTACAGCATTGGTGGTGCGTTTCGACAACGGTAAGTAGGTATCAGTGTTGCCAGACGTACGATAAATATCGTATTTGTACGATAATTACAAAAAGGTACGTTGTACGATCGATAATGAATAAATGTACGATAATTTCTGAATGTTGATAAATTTTGAAAAAAATACACTGAAATCGCTGAGCTCCATTAAAAATTGAAATACCAGCTCTTTTTTCCAGTGCCTGAATTATTACAAGGGGAAATGTTTTTTTAATAAAATTATTTTGCAAATACAACTTAACCCCATCAATTTAAGGGGGCCACCAGCCTCCGATGACGTCACACTGGTAAAATCAGTTTTGTACGATAAAATCATGCCAAAAACGATAATTTCTCCAGCATTCTACCATAATAGGGTCGTTACCTCCTATTATTAAAATTATACTGACCCTTATTTTTCGATATAGTGAGGCCTAAAACTTGGCCATGTCATATTGGTTGTATTGAAAATTGTTTCCTGGATTATTTAAATTAATTTAAAATTTAAACATTTTTTGTCCTTGTCGAATTGTTGGTCTCTTTCTCATATGACGTCACTAGGCGGGCATGCGCAAAGCAGTTGTAAATAAATCCATCAACATATGCAATTTTGTGAGGTTATGTTGTTTTGTTATTATTTTGGAATTTCCTTGACCCTTGTCGTTATTCATTTATTTTTTGAGTTTTTCAACTGTTTTTCCGAGGTTTTAAGAAAAATATTTAAAAGGAATGTGTAATAAATTCAAGGTAAGTCATTGTTTCTTATTATTTGATGTTAAGGTCTCAAATAGAGCATGCATTTCAGTTTCAGTGTACCCACCTAAGCCCTACCTACAGTTCACTGTTTGGCTATGGATTTTCGTAAATGTTTTGTGCCTTCTTATAAAAACAGTAATCTAAATTCGAAGAAAATCTTTGGTTCCTTAAATTAGCACAACGAAAATAGCACACATCAGAAAAACTAGAGTACTAAATTCGAGCCTATTTAGTGCTAATTTAGTACAAAAAAATAATAATTTATAACTCTATTTTTTAAAAAATTACGTGCACTCTAGTTGGATAAGGTCGAATCTTTGAAAATTTAGTACCTCATATTTAATGCTAATTTGGTAAATTCATGGCACGTCTAAAAAACTAACAATGATGTATTTATTACGAAATAACCCCGGAAAAGTGCTAACCTAAGATTTGCATTAGCACACATACATCGAATCGACCGCGCGAGAACGGAATTCGCATGCGCATATTTAGTGCTAATTTAGTACTTCAGGAACGACGACCCGAAACGAATAAGTATCACATCAGCACAAAGTTAGCACTTGTGTGCTGGCTTAGTGTTTAAGTTAACATACATTATCACCGGTGACGCGATGAAACTAGAGTACTAAATTAGCACACATTTAGTGCTAATTTTAGACGTTAGTTTGGGTTAGTTCGGGTTAGGTTCGGTTAGTTCGGGTTATTTTGGGTTAGTTTGGGTTAGCTCTGTGCTGATGTGATACTAGTTCGTTTCAGGTCGTCGTTTTTGAGGTACTAAATTAGCACTAAATATGTGCATGCGAATTCCGTTCTCGCGCGGTCGATTCGATGTATGTGTGCTAATTCAAGTCTTAATCTAGCACTTTTCCGTGGTTATTTCGTAATAAATACATCATTGTTAGTTTTTTAGGCGTGCCATGAATGTACCAAATTAGCACTGAATATGAGGTTCTAGATTTTAAAAGATTCGACCTTATCCAACTAGAGTGTGCCAGCTTAATCTTAAGCTGGCACACATGAACGAAATTTTTTTAAAAATAGAGTTTATCTTTTTTTTTTCGTACTAAATTGGCACCAAAAAGGCCCGAATTTAGTACTCTAGTTTTTCTAATGTGTGCCATTTTCGTTGTGCTAATTTTTTAGACCTGAAAATCTTTATAGCAGTCCCCAAAAATGAACAAATAAGAAGTTGGTGTTTAGCTGTGGAAAGTGGAAATAGTTAATATATTGTCTAGTATTTCTGGTGGAATTTATTGCAGCGAAGATCATTTCAATGTAAGTAAACTTAGATGCCAAATTTCATTTTATAAACACCTATTTTCTGTCTTACATTATTTCAATAATGTAAACATTATATTATGTTCATAGATGGAACAAGATTGTGATAACTGGGTGCAGTTTAGGATAACAAACTGCAAATTACGTATGAAGAAAAATGTAGTTCCACATATCAATTTAAGCAGAATTGGAGTTTGTGAAGAAGCTGAATGAAAGAATTGCCAGCTTACGAATCCATATTGAAAGAGTGATACAAACATTGTGAGAATTTGCAATACTCGAAGGACATTCCTGCATTGACCATCAGCTTGTGGCAAAAACTGATTATTTAATTATTATTGCTTGTGGAATAGTGAATTTGCAGGGACCATTGATCAAATAAATTTTATGTCAAAGCTAGAAAAAAATGCTTTTTCGAATATATTGTATAAAAAAGAATACATATTGTTTTTTTTACAGCCAAAATAGTACATTATACACCTAGGGACTAACTAAAGTGGTACTTTTATTCCCAAAGGGGGAGCTATAATTTGTTGAGAAATTAAAAAACACTTTAGTCCTGAGGTGTATACACTATTTTATGCACTTAAGGGATTAAAAATTAAAAGGGTACTTTTGATCCCTCTAAAGGACAAAAGTGTTTTTTATTTCCTCGATTTTGGAGTACGTACCCTTCTATTCCCTGTTCCATTTACTCCATGGGGAATAAAGTAAAAGGTTAATCCCTTGGGAAATAAAGTGAAATTTAATCCTGGGGATTAAAAGGGTACTTTATGCATAAATAATGTAAAGAAGAAAACTACCAGACTCCCAAATCAATCATATTGTCGCGGCTTTGGGTTGCCTGCTGACAAAATTCTTGGGTTCGTTGTTCGTTTCGTTTATTCCAAAAATCAAAGTCCAATTAACACAGCAATAATTTATTCCACTTAACAAAACACTCTGACACTAATTACTTTATTAACAAACTCAACAATTCAACTCTTTACAATCACTATTTAAATCGTATCACACTCGAACTGAAACTAAACTACAAACCAATGCCGGCCTTCTTATATATCCCTAAATCTATTCCTGTAAAATCTAGAATACACGATAATATTATTTTCCCGAATTAAGTAGAATAATTCACTAGATTCTAGTATACTCAAGAGATAATACCGAGAGATTCTTGACAGCCTGGCGGACGTTTAGCTTATTGTGACACTGCCCTCCTCTTAAGGTTGATCGTCCCGATCAACTTCTCGCCCATGATATTTCGCCAACCTGTCCAGATGTACAACTTTCATCTTACTCCTGGTGTTGCGCTGGACTCGATAAACCAAATCATCGATCCTCTTGATTACTCTATAGGGTCCTTCCCATGCTGAAGACAATTTCGGTGATACTCCTTTCTTCCTTACTGGGTTATATAACCACACTAAATCACCTTCTTGAAATCCGACCGAATTGGCCTTCAAGTCGTATCTGGTCTTCATTCGGTCACTGGCTAGTTGAATATGCTCCCGAGCAAAATCATGGATACCCAGAAGTCGTGCCCTTACTTCGTCGGCATAATCTCGGATTTCTCTTCGTTCTTCTTCGGGTACTCCAAACATCAGATCGCAAGGTAACCTGAGTTCCCTTCCAAAAACAATTCTAGCCGGACTTTCACCTGTTGAATCGTGAACAGCCGCTCTGTAAGCCATTAAAAATAGAGGCAAATGCTTGTCCCAATCTCGTTGGTTCTTTGCGACCACTTTTGTCAGGTGTTCCTCTATGGTCTTATTGAATCGTTCCACCATGCCATCAGATTGAGGGTGTAAAGGTGTTGTCCTTGTCTTACGAATGCCCATGATCTCACAAACTTTCTTAAAGATAGCAGATTCGTAGTTTCGTCCCTGATCTGAATGTAACTCTAGTGGCACACCATGACGACTAAAAACTTCGTCCACTAGCACCTGGGCAACAGTGATGGCTTCTTGATTGGGAATAGCGAAAACTTCTGGCCATTTACTGAAGTAATCCATGATAACTAAGATGTATTTGTTACCACGCTCTGACTCTGGGAACGGTCCTGCTACATCTATCGCTATTCTCTCAAATGGAAGACCAACGTTGTACTGTTTCATGGGCCCTCGAGATCTTAGTTTAGGGCCTTTACTGGTAGCACAGATGTCGCATTTTCGGCACCAGCTTTTAACGTCTTCATGGTAGTGAACCCAGTAAAAACGTTCCCGAATTTTGTCCAAAGTCTTGTTAACTCCGAAATGTGCCCCTGAGGTTCCGTCGTGTATTTCTTTTAATACATCTTCCACTCGGTCTTTTGGGATTACCAGTTGGCTCTTAGTGGATTTCCCATCGGCACTTTCCCAAACTCTTTTGAGCAAACCATTTTCTACGGCCAGAGAGTTCCACTGGGCCCACAACGCCTTGTAAATCAAGCTTTTGTTTGACACTTCCCCCCATTCTGGCCTACATTCATCATTTTCTTTAAGATGTAGAATTTGCCCGATGTCCTGGTCTGCCTCCTGATCTTCTCTCATTTGCTTGGTAGTCCATTTGTCATCGACGATCAGGCCCGTTCTTCTTACAGCTGGACTAGTGTTTTTCTCATGTATATCGATTCTTTGACAATGTTTGCAATCTTCTTTACATGGCCGTCTAGACAGAGCGTCAGCATTTTTATGCAGGTTTCCAGGGC